TATTATATTGATTTCTTAATTCATTTCATTGTTACCATGTTTTATTATCATTATCAGTATTGATTTCTATTAATTTATTTTATTTTACCATTGTTATTATTATCATATTGATTTCTATTAATTTATTTCATTTTACCATTGTTTTATTATCATTATCATATTATTTCTATTAATTTATTCATTTTTCATTGTATTATTATGTTATTATTATTATTATCATCATTATTCTTTTGAAACATTTGCAAAGGGTCCAAGATTTTCGTGCGGAAAGGGGAATCCACAGTAATCCTTCGTGGCAACATCTTTCTGCACCCCCCCACCCCCACCCCCCACCCCCCTCCCATCCCCCATCAGCTGGCATTCCTCGTACATCAACACTAGTTTTTTTTTTTTTTTTTTTTTTGCTTATTCTTTCTGTTGCTTTTCTTTTGACGATGCTCTTGTTTTCATAATTTTTTATTTTTTCTCGTTATTTTCACTTGCCCCGTTTGTGGATTTTGTTAATGAAGGTAATGTTGATGTGTATTTTGATGTGCACGTAATTACACACCACACACACACACATGGCACACACACAAACACGTGCACACACACCACAGACATGCACACACACCACACACACACACGACTGCGCACACACACACACAAACACGTGCACACACACACAGAGTCAATGTAATGACCATAACACGGATAACAACTGCTCTAGACGCTATCATTACTATTTCTGTATATTATCTACACAAGTGGCTACTTTCTTCAATTACCTCAACTATTGTTACACCTACTAATATAAACTACTCAGCAACTACTGCAACATCGACTGCAAAACTGCTGCTATTTCTGATGTTTTGCTGCAAGCCCATAACAACAACAGCAATCACTTACGTACTACTAAACACTACTACTACTACTACTACTACGAAGACTGGTATTACTACTACTATCATTTGAATAGAATACTACAAATGCTATTACTACTGCAATAGTAATAGCATTTATTACTGCTATTGATAATATCATTGCTATTTCTATATGCATGATTAAGATTGTATATCCTTGTGTATGTTTATGTACATGGACGCTAGTATAGGTGTATTTGCATGTGTACTTTTGTAAGTGTGTATTGTGTGTATGTGCGCCTATGACCCAAGATGTGGTGTGTGTGTGTGTGTGTGAGTATGTGTGTGTTGGTGTGCATTGTGTGGTTCATGGCATATCGGGCGTCTGCCTGTCTATGTATTTATGAATGTATCCATATACCATTTTGAATATACATCTCTGTATTTATCCACGCACCAAGCTATATATTCCTCTATTTATCAGAATCTATCATTTTAGATTTAGATGTAGGGGGAAATTCGCCCAAAAATATTGCATTGCATTTTAACGTTGCAATTGAGCAAGTAATAAAAGTTATTCCAAACAGCCATGCCATGCAACACTTTTCAGCCTATTTATTTTTTCCCAATTTATATTACGCATTTTTTTCCAGTACATTGTGTAAAATTATATATATTCCCCCCCCAAAAAAATACGACCTGTGAAATTATTACCAAGAAAACGTTTTTTTTGTGTTGTTGTTGTTCATAGTTATGATATATTTCCGTCAGCTGATTATCCAGAACGTTCTTTGTAATTTAAATGCAGAAAGAAAATGTTTTTATTACACGAGGGTCACAGTATCACAGTGGAATATTTAGTCAGTGTTATTAAGCTGTTGACACTGATACACAGGCTTTAATATTCCCGGCTATTCTTGCGTCCGTTGTTGTGTTTCTCATTGTGTCGCGGGGCCCAGATTACCGCCATCTATTAGCCGGATTCAGAGTTAAAATTAGCGTCTACTTGCGTGGGGCGGGGAGAAGGCTCGCGGATGGTTGGGCCGCGGGATTTTTGTGTTTTGTTTTTATTCGGAATTTAGGGATGCGTAACCTGACTTGTGCGTCTGTTTGTCTGCGTGTTTGTTTTTCTTCTGTTTTTCTCGTGTCTTTTCTCTTCTCTCTTTCCTTTCTTTCTTTCCTTCTCTCCTCTTCTCTTTCAACTTTCTCTTTCTTCTTCTCTCTCTCTCTCTCTCTCTATCTCTCTCTCTCTCTCTCTCTCTCTCTCTCTCTCTCTCTCTCTCCTCTCTCTATCTTCTCCTCTCTCTTCTCCTATCTCTTCCTCTCTCTCTCTCTCTCTCTCTCTCTCTCTTCCCTCTCCTCTCTCCCTCTCTCCCCTCTCTCCTCTCCTCCCCTCCCCTCCCTCCCCCCCTTCCCTCCCTCCCTCCCTCCCTCCCTCTTCTCTCTCTCTCTCTCTCTCTATATATATATATATATTATATATATATATATATATATATATATATATATATATAGAGAGAGAGAGAGAGAGAGAGAGAGAGAGAGAGAAGAGAATACTCCGTAGAAACGCATCAACTACACTCTCACAAACACATTATCCTGCCTCCTTTTTCTGCGCCAATCATACCGTTTTTGCTACATCTGTATATTAAATTTTATCGTCTGCTATTGCATAAAAAAAGATAAACATGAACACCGAAAGAAAAAAATATCTTTTTAATGTACATTGACGGCAGAGATAAAGGAGAATGATTTAGCTTGAGAGTCAAAATATGGAGAAGAATTTAGAGAGAAAAAGGAGAGAGAGACAGAGGTTATCGGATGGGGTCGCGTGGGAGGGGGGGGTGGGGGGGCGGGGTAGAGCTGTTGTTCATGCAGGTCGGTAAATAAGCGATCTCGGGGGGAGAGTGAGGTACGAAATATCGGTATCGAATTTGTGTGTGTGTGTGTGTGTGTGTTGTGTGTGTGTGTTTGTGTGTTGTGAAAATCTCTCTCTCTCTCTCTCTCTCTCTCTCTCTCTCTCTTCTCTCTCTCTCTCTCTCTCTCTCTCTCTCTCTCTCTCTCTCTCTTCATCCTTCCGATCCGACCTCTCTCCCTCTCTCTCTCTCTCTCTCTCTCTCTCTCTCTCTCTCTCTCTCTCTCTCTCTCTCTCTCTCTCTCTCTCTCTCTCTCTCTCTCTCTCTCTCTCTCTCTCTCTCTCTCTTCGCTCCCTTCTCCTCTCTCTCTCTCTCTCTCTCTCTCTCTCCTCTCTCTCTCTTCTCTTTCTCTCTCCTCTCTCTCTCTCTCTCTCTCTCTCTCTCGTTCTCTTCTCTTTCGCTTTCTCTCTTTCTCCGCTCTTATCTCTCCCTCTCCCGCCTCTCTCTCCTCTCTCTCTCTCTCTGCTGCTCTCTCTCTCTCTCTCTCTCTCTCCTGGCTGCTCTCTCTCTCTCTCTCTCGTCTCTCTTCTCTTTACTCTCTCTCGTCGTCTCTCTCTCTCTCTCTCTCTCGTCTCTCTCTCTTGCTCTCTCCGCTCCCCCCTCCCCTCCCTCCCTCCCTCCCTCCCTCCCCTAACACCTTTGCATCCGCTCTCCCTTCCCGTTTACCCTCCCGCCCCTCCCTCTCCCT